CTCCCGCCGAGTGCTGAGGGGTCCTCTGGCGGCAGGAGGCCCTGTGGGGCTCGTAAAATATGTGGGAAAATGTGCTTGGATGGGTGAGCGCCCTGACAGGGAACTGCGCCATCAGCGTGAGGGGCCGCTGGTCAGAGTGTCTCCCGGGCTCTGCAGGCCGGTGCGAGGCCTGAGGGCACTGGAGGTTAAAGCAGGCTGGGAGCGCTTCCCAGGGAGCTGCCTTGTGCACAGGCTAAACCCACCGGTTCGCTGTTCCCCAGCCCGGGTTCCAGCAGGTGTTAAATCCCTGGCGATCCCCGAGCAGCGCCCGTGCGCGGGGGTCACGGGGGCTCGGCTTCCTCACACAGGCACGGGCATGTCGGCGTTCTGCAAAGCTTCACCTTCGTTAGCTGAGTAAATACGCCTTGTATTGCTTTAAACAGGATTGAAAGCAATTACATTTACTCAGGCTGACAATGTAGTTACGTTGCTGTGTTATTAAGAGCACTACAAGTGCATATAAATATTCAACACCTGTGCTCTTCCCAGTGTGTAAACTGCATTATTAGGTACTTCTGTGTCTACATTGGCACTGAAACTAAGCTGGACCTTGAAGTAAAACTATTTTGTGAAGGTATTTATCATCTTGTCAAAAAAAACAACCCAAGGTTTTTCTGGTAGGAAAGTGGAGACTTCTGTTTTCCTCTTTGAAAAATTTGAAATAAAGTTCTCTGTGATAGAACACCTGAAGGAAAGAATATAAACTAGAAAATGGAAGAAGATTAGAAAAGCTCAAAAAAGATACATGGTGACTACTGACCCAACGGCAGAACCATTGCAATACTTTTAAGGGGGTTTATTGAAGTTTATGGTTAAATTCTCATTGAACAGATAAATGTGAGAACAGCGATTTAAATAGTTAAGGAAGAATTATCCCAAGTTGTTTATCATCAATTAACAGATTAAAAAAAACCCAAACAATTCCATCCTTTCATTTTACGTATTATCTGAAGACACGTAGAACAACACTTCATTTTTTCATCAAAAAGAAAATTAATACAGGAGACAAGTTCCATTCATGTCAACTGAACCATTCTGAAATGACAGATTAAATAGCACCCTTGTCTTGTAAATAGTTTTAAAGAATGCAACTGTAAAGATGAAAAATGAATAGTTAAAAGGGACTTCTCGGACTTCCCTGATTTATCTCAAATTTGAGGTTGTGCAATTCTGAAGAATTAGTCTATGTAAAGAAATAAGAGTGTATTGTTAATGAGGAAGAATAATAAATTATTTTTGCAACTGCTGGACAATGATGTCCAAGTAGTGAAACAGGACAAAGTATTAAGTAGGATATAATAGCTCAACACAGGTGTTTGTGGCTTGGACTAAAAAACATCACGAGTTAACTGAATATTAACTCTATTGGTGCAGAAGAACATGCTCTCCCTACCAGAAAGTGGCTGACAAATTTGACATAATTTAAAGAATACTGGCAGAACCAATGTTATACAGGACAAATTAAATGTAATTTGTAAGACTCAATTAACTCAGGAAAAGCTCCCTGAATTATAAATAATTAAAACATACATGTGGTTGTATTTGCAATTCTAGTGCTTGAGGTGCTGTCCATGTTGCATGAAACGTCATTGAAAATAGCAAAAGGCTTATTCTTACCCTAAATATTTACAGTTTAACCTGAAATACTTCAACTGCCCCAAATGTATACAAGAGTGAGATGTTTAGTAATGACAAAGAAAAATATATTTAGAACGCAGCATGCAGGGCCAAATATTTTTGAGGGAATGATTCTCAGATAAACTAAAACAAAGCTCTTTCATTTCAGGAAGGAGAGAAAGCAAATAAAATCAAGCTAATAAAGGCAAGAGAAGATACTTGTCAAAAAAAATCCAGTTTCATCAGAAAATTAGGATGTTTCAGTAGCTACCTAGGAAAACCAAGTCATGCTCAATATAAGTTCTGAAAGTCTCCTGCTACACATGCTAACAAAGTCTAGTGAACTAATTAAGTACTAAGATAATAATGATCAAGCACTAGCACAAACTAATAATAAGCTTTCCTCTGAACAGGTTACAATCAAAAATATGTGTTTTCCTACCAAAAGAGTGCTTTTTATGAGACAAGTAGGCCAAGAATATAAATAGTAACTGGCTGTTGTTTAAGATTATTTTGTCAGGTGCCCAAAGCCCCATAAAGCTACAATTAAGAAATGAAGCTACAACTTTGCAAAGGGAAAGAGAATAAACAGGTTGGTTTTTTTTAGTTTATCCACCTATCTTTCAGTCTATGAATAAAAAGCAGAAAAGGGGAGATGAATAGTAATAAATACGTAGTTGAGAATACAACCTACAGAAAATAGGTATTCAATTTGTCAAAGACAGACTTAAGGGATGTCTTGGTCACAGTAAAAATGCTATCAGAGGAAGCAGAAATTTAGTAGAGAATTTCTCAATTTGACAGATAAAGACATAATAAGGAGACCTGGATATCAAGGACCCTGGTATAATTTTAATATAGCTTTGGAAAAAATCTACTGAGTGTTCTACCAGATTTTCAGTGTCCCAGTTCAAGCATATGTATTGAAAGCTGCAGCAGGATTCCCTGCATGGAAGAGTCATGATCTGTGTGGTGCAGAAGGCCTGTCACCAAGTTTTGATTTTTGGTGTATTTGTAATGAATGGGTGCATAACCCATGAATTTATTCCCCCTAATATATAAATATAGTGGAAAAAAAATAAAAATAGCTTTGGCCTTTCTGCCATATTTAAGTGAAGTGTCTTGTGTAAAGCACATGAAATGCTTTTCACCTCGAGAGTTCTCACAAGGACAAGATCACAACAGTATTGAGCTATAACTTGTAGGAATCATCATTAAGATTCAAGCTGCTTTGACTTTTTTGTGCGTTTCCAGAAAGTACTTGTAGCTGAGTTTTAACTCCCACAAGATGGCGCCACGTGAGCATAAAATAGTGAGAACTGGTTCCAAATCAAAGTGACTCGTCTTTTTTATTTGTGGTGGGGTTTTTGTTGTGGGTTTTGTTTTTTGTTTTTTAAATCGGTGCACGTTTTTGTTTAAGTAACAGTATGACAATTCCAGTGGTATTTCATAGAATCTTGGTCAAAACTTGTCTGCTCAGGTAATCCTACTGGCAGGAATAATGTTTTATTCATGACAATGTATGTATGAAAATAGTGATTTTTCGCTAAAACTTCATGGCACTGTTTATTGCTCTACTAAATATAACATCTACCGTGACATCAAAATGATCTTTAAAAGCACATAGGCCATGTTCATTGTATGTAAGTTTAATAGCAGATCTAGAACCTGATGGGTTCTAGAAGCATGGGAAAGAACAAACTCTAACAACAGATTATATTCTCAAAACATTTATCATTTTTGTTGTAAGTTAGAAAAAGAAATGAAGCAAGAGAAGAACAATAGATGAATTTAAAGAGAATTTACTCTAATTGGAGTGTTTGTCCAAATTTCCCATGAGGCAGGTTTTGGAATTAGTACTAGAAGTGAGACTATTGAAAGCAAGGGTCAATGAAGTTTGTGCCACCAAGGTTAAGTCTCGTAACTCTTATTTGGGGAGCAGATTCATATATAGATAAATTATAATATCTGGGAGACCTATAAAATAATAATTGCAAACAGACAATAGGGCTTTACCTGCAAATTTCTGCTGGAAGCTTTAACTGCTATTTGAGCTGTACCAGATAATTCAAATGCTCTTGGGAGGTCCCTTCCAAGCGAAATGATTCTGTGATTCGGATTCAGGACTTTTTTCTTCTACTTCTTTTTCTTCAAGTCCATTCTTGATTACCTCAGTGTAATCTATTGTCTTGCTCACATCCATGGCCTAATCTCATGTGAATTAAAGCTTTCAGCTAGAAAATCAAGTCAGTTATACCAATATAATAACAGCACTGTAGCCAGTGCTTTTCTAATCCTCTGAATAGCCCCACATATTAATTATGAAATTAGCCAGTCTTCACTGTGTAAATGTTTGCTCAACAGTGGTATTTGAGTTGTTTCCTAAGATCTGCAGGTGAATCAATCACACTGATACATCCATCTAGTCATCTCAGCTCAGTAACCTGTCTGTATTCCACTGCTAATAGAAAATCACAAATCCGTTTTCCTTTCTCTATTACATGGATAAGAGAATCGAAGAATCAACACGTTTAAGTGCTGTGAAAGGTATCTAGGTACTTTTCATAATCCATAGTGAAATCTGTGACTGCATTTGCTGAGTTGTCAGCATTAACTGATAGGCTTTTACATTCCACTGTCTCGAGGTTATGCAAGAAAACTGCAATCTGTTTCCCATACAAATTGACTATCTATGCCACTAAATCCAAAACCACTACCTGCCCTTTGGTTTTCTTAGTAACTGAAAACACATGTTACAGTACTAAGTTTTCCTCATATTCTTGAGCTTCTTTGACAGAGATTGTCTGAATATTAGGTAGTGGTGAAAGGATGCTGATCCATTACCTTTGACACAGTAAGTCTGCCTCAGTCATCTCCAGTCACTACACAAAATCAGAGTGAGTGAAGAACAGCAAAATAGAGCCAGCATATTTTTCATCAGTCATATGTGATGAGTGACATGGAAAATAAAGGCACTCTGTTGGGCTTACTCTTACAGCTACAGCACAGCACTGCAGCACAGCACTGCTTTCGCAAATTGTTAGATGAAGCTTACAACCTTTGTCCCTGTCTCTCCAGCTGTCTCTCCTGTGTTCAATCTGTTGCAAATTGTCTGGAAAGGGAAAAGCTGGAAAAGAGCCTACTACAAATATTGTAGTTCCATCAATCTCTGGAAGAATACACTTAAAGTAATTTCCTTATGCCTAAAAAAGATTTCTTCCTGACTAAAAACTGTAGTTGGGTTAGTGATTAGCTGGTTAAAACATTTGATTACTCAGTCTCCTGTTTCAACTTAAACATTAACTGAAAATCACAGTTCATCCCAGACAACATGAAAGTATGAATAAACTTACAACTCAAATCAGTTTACACACCAGGGCTAAAAACTTAAGCCACTTAATTTCTTCAGTAAAGTATCCAATATTCGTTACACCTGCAAATGAGTCTTGTGGGAGATTCAGTGCCCCCCACCTGTGAGCCAGTCCACCTATATACATTATAGCTCTCCCACCTGAAGGTAAGCATGAATAAAATTACATCACAGGAAAAATGCCTGCTATTTTGCCTCCACTTAGAGGAAGACAAAGTTTTCTGTACTCCAGTCTCACACCAAAAATACTTGAATTGGTCTTGACCTAGGCTTTTATTTTCGAAGTGTACTGTGATGATTAGGGGCTAGATATATATAGAGCAGCACTGAT